ATCTCTCTCTCTCGAATTCCTTTTGTGTAAAAAGTTCCTTTCCCCTGGTTCCGACTCCTTGATGCAACTCGGTGGAGGGCCCGGGGCCCGGGTGTCGTCACTTTTGTCTGCTAAGAACAGTGGATGGATGGTGGTGGTGGCTGAGGTGAGACCTTGGACCCATGGTGTCCCTGAGAGCTCAAGGACGGACTCGGTGGACCATCATGAGATTCTTCCCAGGCACGCCAGGCTCGCACTCGCCGGCCGGCCAGTGGAAGCACGCGATGCCATTACCGACTAGAGCTGCAGCGCACGGTTGCTCGCTTTCGCTCACTGAGAGTCTAGGGTGGCCTTTCATCCCATCTGTCAGAATACCAAGAGTACCAAGAGACAGGGGATCCTCGTTCCTGGAATCTTGGCAGCCCTTCTGGAGGCTTCAAGGACCCCGCCCGCCCGGATATTGGCGCGTTGCTTCTGCTAGCAGTGCCTGGGCGGTGGAGATGAGGGGGAGAAATGCGGGAATCGTGCGATTCATTCCATGGTTCAGTTTCTCTCAATCCTTTGGCTCCTCTCACAGCTGATGATGAACTCTCGACGCGAGCCGTCTCGACGAAACACCAAACAGCAAGACACGGGACGGCAGATGAACATAGTTATCTGCATGTCCCTCAATAAATATGCGGCTCCAAGACCTTCCCCTCTTTCACAGACTGTTTCCATCTGTTCATCACAACGTCGTCCGATCTCGCACTCGCTTCCATTTCAACATGGAGCAAAGAAAAGAGGAATCCTAGCGCGCATCCTGCTGGTGAAGTTTGCGGATAGTTCTCCACCAAGCGAGCCTCCGGGTGGCATTCCACCACTCATCGACATTGTTTGCAATCTCCCCGTTTTTTTCTTGATGGCATCTTCAAAGAAACCCCAAGTTTCCAAAAGAAGACACAGAGCACCGTATCCGTGTCTACCTGCGTTGGTGCAGTGCCTGGGTTAGTATCCTGGTATTTCTTCAAGGGGTTTGTTTTGTCGTCCTCAGTGTTACCCCTAATGATAAGCATAAACTCTTAATGTTGTAGTGTAAACACTCATGCAGCAGAATACCAGTGCGCATTCTCAACTACCCGGTACTCACCGCTCCTGCTGTTGCGGTGCTGGTGACCGTCGACCGTCGACCGTCGACGATGCATCAATGAGACGGTATATATCACCAGCTATAAAGCCAAGAAGTTTGAAGTTGTCTATGTGATGAGTAAGGAGAAGCTACACCGTCTCGGTCGCTTCAAGATTCACCCAGGAATCCGAGAGAGAAAGAGATAGAGCCAAGAAAGACTTTAACCACCTGCACATCAATCTCGCCTAGCTGCATAAGTGCCATGTCTTGTTGCGTGATAGTAGACTGTGGCGCTCATAGCGTTGCAATCCTCTGCTAAAGTTGAACGGGGACGCACCCTGCAGAGGCTCGAGCGGGGGACACTGTCCGGTAGTGGCTCGGCAGTGGGCAGGCAAACGTGAACAAAAAAGCCGGGGAAAGAGTTCCCTGAGAACCAGCTCTGAATCCTTTCGTCGCCGCCGGCAAAAGCTGCATGTGCGAACCAACATGGTTACAATGCATAATAGGGGCACATTGCGTTTATATGTTGACATTTCCCAGCTCCGAGAAGCCCAAGACCTTTCTCTTCTGTTTTTTTCTTCTTCTTCTCTCAAGAACCTCTTATTTCACATGTACACTAGAAGGAATCCAACAATCCCCGTGTCCCCACAAACCACGCCACAGACTCAAACAGGGGTCTCTCCTACACTTACATATTTGCCCCTGGCGCCAAACTAGACTCAAGCAGAATCGAGCCCGAAGGAAAAGCGGGGAGCATTTCTTGGAAGGTGTTTGATTTGCATATTGTTTACTGCAGAGCGAGCCACTCAAGGGGCTTCCCACCGTAATGGTTCCATCAATAATTGGTTTCTTACTATGCTGTTGGTTTGAGAGACCAAGGGAATAATGTCTTTGTAATCGGGGAATATATCCCAACATGAATGTAACCCAACCCCTCCTATGGACAATAGTCCGGTTCCTGGCCCAGAAGCTTTGCCGTATCCAAGAGTGCCATTGACACCGTTCGGCGACCTCTTTCATCTTTAATCTTGAATCCCACGTGGGCCCCGGAGCTCTAGGCAAGCGGCAAGCGGAAAGAGCCCCAGTGGTTAAATATCACACCACAATCCATCCATTCCTTCTGAATGTTTGGATCTCCCGGTTATCGTCCACCTCGGTTCCAAACTTGAACAGAGAGGAAGATCCATACGTTCACTCTTTTTACATAGCTGATATTCCCGTCTTGTCGCTAACAACTCAACTCAAAAATGCGCTTCACACTCGCCGCCCTGGCCACCGGCCTCCTCCCCGCCGCCGTCTCCGGCGCAGCCATCTCGGCCCGCGCCGCCGAGCTCGACTCCCGCGCCATCACCCCGCTCAGCTGCCTCTTCTTTGGCGATATCGTCTCTCCCTGGTGGCTCAACACCTGCAAGCAGCACCTCGACCTCGTAGTCATCGACCTCCGCGAGGCAGCCGAGTACGCCGTCTCCCACATCCCGGGATCCATCTCCTCCCCCTTTGAGCCCGTCTCGGCCTGGTCTCAGATGGGTCCCGGATCCCTCATCCTCGAGCTCCCCGAGTTCAGCAACCTCGTCTCCTACCTCGGCTCAATCGGTGTGGGCGCAGACACCAAGATCGTCCTGGTCAACGGCGTCGCCGTCCCTGCTTTCCCCCAGGCTGCGTCCCCCCGCGTCGCCACCACCCTCAAGTTTGCTGGTCTCTCCGAAGGCCGCGTCGCCGTCCTCGACGGTGGCTTCCCAGCCTGGGCCGCAGAGTCCCTCCCCGTCACTCAGGCCGCCCCTACCCTCACCCCCAAGACCTTTGTCGGCAAGGAGGACCGCAGCTTCCTCGTAGACATCAACTACGTCGCTGCCCGTCTCAACAAGAAGAACCAGGGCATCTTTTTGATCGACGGCCGCGATCAGGCAGTCTACAACGGCTCCGTCATGGAGGACTGGGCCCTCGTGCCCGGCCACATCCCCTCGGCCGTCAACATCCCCGCTCAGAGCATCTGGAACCCCGACGGATCGTTCAAGTCCACCTTTGAGCTGCTCTCCCTCGTTCGCTCCAAGATCGGGTACGGCGCCAGCAGGTCCTACGGAGAGATCATCGTCTACTGCGGCGTCGGCGGCTACGCCTCCTCCTGGTACTTTGTCCTGACCAGAGTCCTCGGGTTCGGTGGAAACGTCAAGTTCTTTGACGGGAGCGCCCAACAGTGGAGCCAGGTTTATCCCGACAACATGGCTGTCGGTAACAACTAAAATACTTTTTTTTTTGTGACAAAGTCTGTTGAATGAGGAGGAGAGAGGGGGATTTGCATATCTTTTTTGCGTTTTTTATATAACCTTGTATTTAAGCTGTCGTTTCTGTGCATATACCCAGCTGTTCTTTTTTTTTTTTTTTTTTTTTTTGTTTATCTAATATGCATCCATCAAAATCATCCAATGGCTTTTTTTGGTCAATTTGCTTCGCAAGTGTGTTTTCTAATACTCTTGTTGGGTGACTTGTGCAATGTGCAATGTGTGAATGTGAATGTGAATGTGATCATGGTGGAGAAACTCACGATTTAGTAGCGTCTCAGGATGGAGTTGCCAGGAAATTTACCCCTTACCATTTTCTTCAACTCCTTCAAACTGCTCGGCGAGCCAAGACATTGCATTCAACGGTATGCAACGGGGGAAATATTAAGACATACACTGTGGAGTATGCAGGTACTACTTACACTCAAACAGATACCTCGGGGATTTTAGCGTGACATCGAGAAGGGAGGTATTCCCCGATTGGGGTTTATTGACTCTTTACGGATACCTTTGATAAGACCTTGAACGCTTGGCTTTCAATGCTGTTTGTAAATAAACACTGTCCTGTACGGATACCTTTATGCAAAGATGGATGCACAGCCCATATGATGAGAATCCCACACGGACAGTTTATTTATAGAGATACCTAGGTTTGAGCAAATCATGTTTCATGGCCAAGATTTTGCGTTTTGTATGTCTGTTTGGAAACCAGGTTGGAAAAAGCTTGATGACAGTGTGTTACAGACTGGGGGCCTTCGTTTCCTCCGGAGGGAAGTAACTGAATCAAATATGGGTGGGCAAGTACAGTTGAGAGGAAGAGTCATATCTACCGGTAGTAACAACGAATTGATCGACAACGATTTTGCATGTTTCATTCGAACCGTTCAAGATGGAAGATTTGCCATGCAAGTGAAAACGGTGGCTGTGTGTGTGTTGAGGTGGCGTGAGATATGTAAACAAACCCCCTTTTCCAGCACCCTCCAAAATCCAATTCAACCACTTCTGGCAGCATTGTTACCATCAACCATAGCACAGTAAGATAAGACACAGATCAATCATCTGCCGCTGAGCTTAAACGAAACCATGTATTCCTTTAGCTCCTCTGTTGTGTGTTATGAGAGTGTGATTTCTGCAAACTACCCGTCTCAACCACCGGTCCGACTCCAGTTCCTTGCTCAAAAGCCCACAAAATACAGCATTGAGACTGAAGATATTACTAATTTTGACACAGAGACATTTGTTCTTTTTTCGATTGCTGGAAGCTTACTTGTAGCCACTAGCTCAGGCCGTATGTTGAACACTGCGGCGCTGTGTCTTGAGACTTCTTGCTCTCTCTTTTTTTTTTCCCCCAAAATAAATTCATCAGAAAATGTCCGTCCTTTCTTCCGATTGCTCTTAAGCACTCGGGGACACTTTTTAGAAACTGTTCTTCAAGCCATGAATGGGTACGTAACAGGTAGTGAGAAGCATTTATTCACCTAATTTTTTTTAAACCCCTTTTTTAAAAAAAAAAAAAAAAAAAAAATTTGAGTGAAAAAGCCTGACATCGTTCTGTAATGGGCATTCTTCTTCATTCCCTAAATAGTTATTTATAATTCCAACACTCAAAACAAAAGTGCAACAACTTCAAAAAAGCGGGTTTAGCTCAGTTGGGAGAGCGTCAGACTGAAGTTTCCACTTCATTCAAAAAGCCTGAAAAGGGTGATCTGAAGGTCGTGTGTTCGATCCACACAAACCGCAAACCAATATTTTTAGAGTCTTCTTGTCCTTTTTTTTTTTTGCCCGTCTCCACCAACCACTCCACAACTCTGGACTTCTTGTTTGAAATGACATTCCTCCCGAGAGAGGAAAAGGTTTTATTAGTGAGATTTGTGACGGCGAACAAGGGAAGAGGAGCTCGATGGATTTATATCTATGTATTTACAGCGTTTTGAGCTCAGACGGAATTGCTAACCCCCTTTGGTTCACCCACTTGCCATCCTTCAAGTGCCACCCCCCCCCCCCCCACCCTCGGCCTCATGACACACCTCCCTTTCCCACCTTGAAACCACAAACGCCAAACATTCCTCAACACCATGATTTCATCCACCCCTTAGTTACCATTCCAAACAGCAGGCCCGGGCATCTTATAAGGGGCCGGGTTGCTCGTCCACTTATTATAAGCAATACCGGGGTCCTTAGCCGAATAAATCCCGGGAATCTTCACCAATGGAGACGGATTGCCACCGCCTGGGCCATTAATCTTGAGCTGAGCACAAGTCATGTAAAACTGAGCCCTGTTCACGTGTCCCTCATGCAGCCCAATGTGCTCGACCCGCACGAGATACTCTCCGGGGGGAGTCTTCTGCGGGATGGTAAACTCCAGCCTGTCCTTGTTGTAGGAGCACCAGTTGCCGTCCGAAGCGGCGTTGCCTTTGCAGAGACCGGTCTCGTAGACTTTGAACCAGTCTCCGGAGCCGTCGTAGGTTGCGACTCCGTCGGGGGCCTTGCTCATGTAGACGAACCCCGGGCCGGGGTGCTCGATGAATTCATTGTTGAAGAGTTTGAAGCCTATCTTGTCGCCTGCGTTGACTTCGTAGGTCTGGACTCCGCCGCCGGGCTTGGCGCCGACGTTGCACCGGAGGTCGGTCTTGGTGACGATGTCGGGGAAGGCGGGGTTGTAAGAGTTTGAGTTCTTGCGGACGTAGGTGTACTCGCCGCCGATCTTCTTGCCGTTGACGATGAGGATGTTGAAGATGTAGTGGGCCTGGACTGAGCTGGCGGCTAGGCCGGCCAGGACGAGGGATTTGAACATCATGGTGGGCAACCTGAGAGGGATGGTGGATGATGAGGTTGAGGGGGTGTTGAAGTGACACTCGGGGGAGGATGGACAATGTTATATAGTCCGTGTCTGCCAGGTCAAAACCTCTTCTCAGCCCAGCTGATCAGCCGTATTGTCTTGTTTCCCACGCATCTTCCACAACCGAGACACTTGCCAGGCCGGGCTCACAGAAGATGGAGGCAACTTGTGCTTCTTGGCGATCAATCAGAATATATTAACCCCGGACTCGCTCAACCCGCTTTTGGCATCCCACATTCCCGTTGCCCTACATCTACCGAAAATGCGGGGTGCATTCCCGTGCTGAGAAAAAAACCAATCGCGGGCGAATCAGATCTCTTTTCTTATACGGTTTTTTGCCCGCGTAATTCCCCCTATTCGGGCAGAAACTCGGAAACGCATTATTGCTCCAACCTGTCATGGGATCGTCAAGACCCAATGTGGTCATGCCCACTTTGACAGCTGCCAAGTTGGTTTCTCGGAACCGAGGACGAAACGGTCAGAATCAAAACAAACAACCTCCGGTAGTTGCAATCTTGGATCGCAATTTCCCCGATTGGCGCGGCTTGCTTAAGTTGCAATCCCACCCCCAATTGCCGTTGACGTCAAATAGGTCTAGTGGACAATGTGCCGGTGCAGAAAGCTGGTCAAGGTCCTTCTTGGCCACTATATGTTGGAACAAAATCTTCCACCAGTAGCAGTTGAACTATGCGGAGTGTTGAGGTTGAGAACAGAAATCAAACGTGGAAGGCAGGCCCGTATACATTCACTCTGAAAGATAGCCTTGTTGATGAATGTGATCATCGAGGCCCCCATCAAAGCGGCGGGCATAAGAAAACCGCCGACATTTCGATCTAATCAAAAATTGACTTCTTCTACTTGCCTTCACATCGGCCCTAATCCCGCATCGAAAGATCCATCTTCCAATAGGGCCATCATCTGCTGATTGCTGTAGAACCAGTCCTCCAGTTGTGCACCGTTTCCCATCCACATCATAGGGTTGATGCCTCGTTGTAATTCTTCGGCGGATGTGGGGGCTTCGCAGATGATTCTGTTGCTTACGGTGCCGAATCCACCGTGTATTGCAGCACCGAGTTGTTGCTGGTCGTATACCACACCCTGGTGGTTTTGAAGCTGAGCAAAACCCAGAGTAGCCAGGTACGCGTCCACTTCCTGGTGGCCTGGTTGGGGTTGAAGTACTCCGTTACCACCAGCTTCTGCACCGCCACCGCCACCGCCGCCACCCGACCCCGTCTGCGACTCGACGTAGCGCAAGGCCACGCTGTACAGAATTTGGAAGAGACGACGGAGTCTGTCGACTGCTTCGGTGACGGATGCCTCGATCTGGAGCGAAGCTACAAAGGCCTGTAGGCGGGCAAGGTCCTGCTTATCTCTCGTCTCGATGACTTGACAGAAGAGAACGATGAAAGGGACGAACGGGGCCATGAGGATGGTCCTGATCAGGGTCAGTCACCGTCTGTTTCAAGGGTGTAGAGGAGCGTTAACCTACCAGCTCATGTAGGTTGAAAACAGCCCACAGTCACTCCGTTCAACGATCGCCATACAATCTTCGTGTCGAGCCAGAGTTTGTCGAGCAGCTTGGATACATTCTATCGAGAAAGTCGTTGGAGATCCCACAGGATTGGGCACAGCGCGGTATGTCAGAGTCAACAGTGACAAACGGAGGACGTGGTCGGAAATCTGAAAGAATCGAACAAGGTCTTCCCCGACAGCTTCCATACTGTATTGCTCAAAGGATACACTTAGCTCCTCTGTCCTGTTCTCAAGCTCGTCCAACCTTTGGACCAGGACGTCCACTCTCGACCTCCTCACTTCTTCGGATTGGATCATGACTTCGGGGCAATACAGGAGCTCGTATATCTGGCCTTGGACCTTGGCGGCCATACACCAAAGGACGAAACACGATGTCAATCCGGTGGTACCTGGGTCATCGTAGCTGGGGTAGGGTAAAGTGACGTCGTAGTCCTGAATGGTTGATGACCGGCCCAGACGAAGTGAAAGACTCTTGTCTACAATATACATGCCCCAGAACAAATATTGTTTGTACGAGCGGCTTTCAGGTGGTATGGGTTGGTAGGTCGCGGAGCGGTGATAGCCGAGTGTCTGGCACAGTTCTGACGCTTTGGAGCAGAGGATCCAGGCCAGAGACGGCTTCGAAAGCTCGATAGCATAGAATGCTCCTAGCAATAACGCCGAGATATTTTCATCAGTAGCGGGCAAATGTAATGGCAGCTTCGCCAAGGCTGTTTCAACATTTGTACCGCACTGAGAGGCATACTCGAGCAATTCTTGCTTGCCTGCTGGGAGAACATGGGCAGCAACCCCGAAAACAAAATGCAGTCCGACGTTGACGGTAATAGCAGTAACAAGGTTCCAGTCGTCCGACATGTAAAAGCGAAAACAAATCTCCTGAAACGATGTAATAGGAATGAACTCAAAGACCCAGGCCAACCCCAACATTTCTTTGGATCGGGCAAGTTTGAGTACTTGAGCGGTCTTTTCGATGGGAGGCAGCTCGCATCCTTCAAGGGTGGATGCCTTGACAGGCGGTGCGTGTGGATAAGTCATTTCGTGAGCAGCTGGTTGGTGTTTCATCGACTCGACGATAACATGGAGAGCATCGAGCCCCTCACGCATCTCGGGCCGAGACTCCTTGTTGAGAACCTTGTGAAGGAAGTCGTTGGCAAATACCGATTGGGCTGTCAGTGAGGAGTCTCCTTCCACCATGGGACTCTTGGCTTCTCGAGATGCATGACCCGATGAAGGTATGTGGTGGGCAGGTGGGCTTGGCGCAGACGATGTCGAGACCTTGGTTGAGGTTAACGTTGTGGCCGGATTGTCTTCTGGAGGCTGGACTTGGATGACGGGTGGTGAGGTAGACGCAAGTCCTTGAGCCTTGAGGTCATTGAGAAGAGTGACAATCTCGTCCAGCCTGCTGTCGAGACGATCTATCTTTTGTTCACTGTGTAGCCAACTGTCAGATGGGACAGACATTATCCCCGGGCAGAGGCCTGCATACTATTGATGGGTAAGGAGAATACGAGCACGTTTTTCTCTTGGTTTTCTGGCGTCGCTATAAGTGCAGTCAATCTTGGCACGAACACAATGGGCGCATGGCGATTCCCTGTTGCACCCAATCTGCAAATAACAAACATGTTAGATGCCTCAACTATGCATCGCAGAGATATCACCAAAACAGGACACACACCTTGCGCGCACGGCATGCATTGCACTAAATCCCACCAAAAAGAGCAGAATATGTTAGATCATGAACAGTGCAATTAAAATGGGGTCGAGATATTGGGTGGGGTAACACAGAAGGGTGATGGAAGATGAACTTGCAGCTCTGGGAACAATTGGACCTTGCGCATGATCTTCGTCGGGAGATCCCAACGTCTCCATTGGGTTCGCCATCGGAAATGGTCACGGTGTGGTCTGTTTCGGGTCCAAGTCGTTCTTGGAAAGAGTGAAGATGGAAGGAACTGGCGGGCATTTTGAACAATGACCCCGCGGAATGCGCGGGCTCCGTCTCAAGCTTCCAATAAACTTTTTGGAGGGGGTTTTTTGGGGTTCCACAATTCTGCGGATAGCCGGGTGGATTAAGATTTTGTTTGCGCAAACACTGGCACCTCCGCGTTGCAACGAGCGTCAGCATCCGTGCCTCAGATGGATAATGCCTGCGCCAACAACCTGCATTTTTTACCGCCTATTCGTCGAGACTAGACCCCAATCTCGCCATATCCCTCGAGATTCTCCCATGCACTGGACTCTCGGCGCCGAACTCAGGTGCCCAGAATGAGGTGCAAGTCGGCGCCCGTGGGGGCCGCCAACGATGCCCCCCCCCCCCCCGCGAGTGTCCAGTCGACAAGGATAATCATCGTCCTGGAGGAATCCCAAACAC